TACTACTAATAGCAAAACAGTCTTGAATTTTCAGAGGAGAGGATAGCTATGGAAATGCTGATATTTAAGCAATTAAGAAAGCTGAAGTAGTTCTTTAGCATATCACGATCACGATCATCCTGTTGTTCATCGATTTCCTGGAGCAGGCACCAGTAACATCTCCTTCTTCCTAGCCCTGAGATTTTAAAAGAGCCATTTCAATGCTCTTTCAGGATTAGGAGAATGAGACCCATCATTGTTACTGGTATTTGGCATATTGAGTACGACACGGAAGTTTGCCAGACTCTGCCGTGTGGGCAGGATACTTTTGGTAGCATATACAGGTTGAGAATAGTACACAATGTACTGAATCTACAAAATATCTTTCCTCTGCATAGTGACCTGTGTAGAGGATAATCTTTTGGGAAGGAACTAAAAAGAGAAAAGAGAAACATATCATCCTTATATCTGTTACCTATTCTTTTTGAGTGACTTGAAAATGCTCAGTCAGGGAGGTACTTTACGCTTCCACAAATATTTATTGGTTCTCTATTTGTCAAGTGCTTTGAAAAACATAAGAGATGAAGTAGTGCACTAGATATGCCCCTGTCCTGAAAGCACCTCACAGGTATTTGAATAAATCCACTCAATCAGCCATTTGCTTTTCAAATACCTCTCAGTAGTCAATAGTCAATAGTCATTTTACTATAGTCATTTTCTCAATAGTCACTTTCAAATACCCCTCAGGTATTTGAATAAGTCCACTCAATCAGTCATTTCCATCAGTCTATTGCTTTTTTTTAAATGTTTGGACCACACCTGATGGTGCTAATTGAAGCCCAAAGAAACCCACAAGTTTCTAATGCAGAATCAAAGGGGCATAGATACTAAGATGGAGTTCATGAATGATTTTCTAATAAAGTTTCTTTATAGCACAAACTCAAATTTCAGCAATATAAAGAGTCTTCGTATTATCATATAAAATATAACTTGGAGGGCTGGAGCGATAGCACAGCGGGTAGGGCGTTCGCCTTACAAGCGGCCAACATGGCCGACCCGAGTTCGATTCCTCCACCCCTCTCAGAGAGCCCGGCAAGCCACCGAGAGTATTCGATATGCCAGACACAGTAACAACAAAGTCTCCAATGGAGACGTTACTGGGCCCGCTCGAGCAAATCGACGATCAACGGGAGGGCCTTTACCTTTACCTTTATATAACTTGGATGTTGCTACCAAAATTTTTCAGTGTCTTCTTTGAGGCCTGGAAATGAATGCACTTCTTATTTTTAACCTCAAGTCATTTAACCCTATTTCAGAAGAGTTTAAAATTCTTTAAAAATATTCGTGAAAAGGAAAGCAATTGCTCTAATCTCTGTAATCATTAACCTCATAATCTAAAATGGCTATGAAGCAGATTCATTTAGACAACAAATTTTCTAAGAAAGGACAACAGTCATATGATGATTTCTAGAAGATGTGTTTTGTTTTTAACCTATAGTCAACAATTTCATTCACCCAATGCTTGTTAACTACCTATTTAATACCTCTCGTAATGATATGCTATTAAGAAAATAAACAGAACTTTTCCTAATAGAATTTGTCACACTCTTAACTTGCAGAGTTAAGGAGATCACAGAACAAAAATGCAGATGCAAAAGAAACGTTTAACTTAAATTTATGAGCCTGAAAGTGTGAATCAGATTTTTGTACCCAATGTCATTGCTGAAACAAGTACTGTCAATACTGAAACAGATGTGTAGATTTCCAAGAGAAGGAAAGCACATGGTCTGACTTCCCAGGTGAAAAGAAGAAATTGTGCTACTATAATCTCTGGACACGTCATAGCTCTTCAGTTCTGAGGATCTATTATCAGGACCATTACCACAACTATACTTCTCCAGAAGAGAGAAGAAGGACAATTTTTGACAGCTCTAATGCCTTCAACAGCCTATACTATTTATGACTTTCCTCAGTGTGTAACTGCGAATCTTTCCTCTGGCCTTCATGAACAATAAATTAGTCAGCCACCTCTAGAAACAATCAGATTTTACAAGAAAAAACGAAGAGAACCTGGACACCATTGTTGACAATCTCACTAGAAATCACAATAAAACGCTCAGATCTTTAAATATGGAAAAGCAAAGCTTGCCTCAAAATTCCTCTGCCCTCTGTTTACTATACATTTCAGGGCACCTACGACTTTCTATGTGTGTACACCAACAATATTAATGATCATGTTGATTGATGTGTTTGTGGGGATTCCTTAGACATCTCTTTGTTTATAGTCCTTAGCATGTCTATTAATAATTTCTTTTATAAATAAATTTTATCTCAAATTCTGCTTTATTATCCTTTTTACCCTAGCAGCCTCAAAATGTTATTATCTACTCTTTCATCAGTTAACTGATTAAAAAAAAACCTGGGAGAAGCTGGAGAGATAGTACAGTGAGTAGGGTGTATAATTTTTATGTGGTTGACCCGAATTTTATCTTACGCATCCCATATTGTCCCCCAAGTCCTCCAGGAGTGATGCCTGAATCCCAGGCCAGGAGCAATTTTTGAGTACAGCTGGTGTAACCCCAAAATGAAAAAAATAAGATTTAAAAAGCATGGATCAGGCCAAAGAGTTTTACAGCAGATAGGGTACTTGCTTTGCATTCTGCTGACTTAGGTTCTATTTAGTATGATATATAGAACCCATAGTCCACTAGGAGTGTCCCAGATGATACAATAGTATTAAATTAAATTTAGAAGTTAGAGTCTCAAGATAATAAATGTCCATGAATAACTGAGAAAGATCCATCATTTGAATCTAAAGAATGCTATTAAATTATTCAAAAACGTACAAAATCAGTGCAAAAAAGTAGTACAAAAATAGATTAATGGAATTGACTAGTTGAGCCCCAGTGTTTAGGGTCTCTATGCTTAGTGGTCACTCTCAGTGGTATTTAGGGAACCATGTGGAGTCTAACCAGAGTATACCACTTACAAAGCAAGGGCTTCAACCACTGTACTATTTCTCTGGCCCAGAATTATTTTTATTTTATTTAATTTTTAAAAAAAAAATATCAAAGAAACATGAAAGCTTGAACTATCTCACAGTGATTCAATAAAATTTTAAAAAATATATCCAAAAAAATTATGAATGTGTTTTCTAAGAGCATACATTTCTGGATCATACCTTATTATGTACTTCATTTTTCAGGAAATGCAAGAAGTCTTTTTGGATTAGTTTTGTCTTTCAATACTCTCTCCTCTAGCAAAAGCTTATGTTTCTATCATTCCAAGATACTTTATAATTGTTCTCTGATTTAAAGTTCTCTAATTTTTGACAGAATAGTTGGCCTAAAGGTATATTAAAATATTGTTTTAATTTGCATTTTTCTAATTATCACTTAGTTTAGGTATGTCTATTATATGTTTATTCTTAGGTTACTACCTTTCTTCCATAAGTGTGCGCATGTATGTGTGATGTCAGATATTGAATCCTCTCACACACAATGCGAGCATTCTACCACTGAGCCACAAACATAGCCCAAACTGCATATTCTTTGCCCAGTAAATGTTTTGTAATATAATCTTTTGGGGGAGGATTTTTTTTCAGTAATTTTTTCTATATGTTCTAGATATCAAACTTTTGTTTTATTTAGTCATGTTGACATTTCCTTTTCAAAGAACTTTTTTATGGTATCCTTAATGTAACAAAAATCCACTGAGATAACTGAATCTATGATTTTATTATGTTTTATTTAACTTTATTTATTAAAAAAACATTGCATTTTAAGTCTCAAAGAAATTTTCTTACACTTCTCCTATTAGATTTTCAATTTTTCACTTCTATGTCTTTCATTCATTCACTTCCATTTACTTATGGTGATCTAACTTACAAATATCATCTACTGAAAAATATCAACAAAGTTAACTTTTTCACTGGAAATCATTTACCATAATTAATGGTCTAGCAGGATTGGCAGCATAGAGTATTAAAGAAAAATGCTCCATTTCATACAGATGTTTGCACTGAGACTATATATGTTTCTTCTGTTTTTACTTCTAGGCAAGATCCCAAGAACAATAAAACGTGATTCCTAAAACAAAAAATCACATTGGATTTGAGTTAAATGCCCAAATGTAAACAGCACAAAACCATAGACTGGTAAGAAACCCAAAGAAAGAGAGTTATGGGAAATTGGAGGTGAAAGAGATCAGGAATGACTATAGGAAAAAGTGGTATTGCAGATGGTGGGAGGAAATGATGAGTTAGATTAATGGCACTCTAGACACAGGATAACTTACACAAAAAAAAGTAGTAGTGAAAAATCACCATAAAACCAATTACTTTTTTAAAAATTGAAGTCAAATTGTTGGTGGTAATCAGAAATGGAGCCAGTGAAGGAGACAGAAGGGGCAGTAGCCATATTGCCTCGTTCACCTGCAGAAAGTCCTGGTTCATGTTCATGTTGTCCCAGAATAACTAGAAAGGCATTGTCTCCCTCTCAAAGTGTCTGAGATTGAATGAAAAAAACTTACAATCTGGGTACAGAGGATAAAGCACTTGCCTTGAATACAGCTAACCCTTATTCAATCCCTGCACCAACTATGGTCTAAATTGTCAGGAGTCACCATAAAAACAAAACTAAAACCCTGAAATCTGCCTCTGTACAGGGATATGAACTAGTTTAGAAGAGAGGTATATTAAGGACATCCTGGATGCATATTGATTCAAACCATTCTATATTTAAGTAAGCATTTCTCTGGTGATCTCATTATAAGCACAAAATTCAAATACAACTTTTAGAAATCTCTTTTTCTGTAACATTTAGGAATGATGAACTGGCCCCTTGGGATAATGAAAATTTTTAGATGGGTTAAAAGACAATGATCTGAAAAATAATACAACTTCTATATGCTGTTATATTATGTAAGATCATGGGAAAAATTCTTGAATTGGAAAACTCAGTGATAGCAGAATGTATTTGCCATTTTGATTACTAAAATTAAGTTGCTATTAGCACAATTACCTCAATTTTGGTTAAGAGGTCTTGCAGTTCTCCTGATTCATTCATTGATAGAATTTTCTCAGCACCCTATTAACAAGAGAGAGGAGGGAGGGAAAGAAAATCCATTTTGTTAGTATTTGAGAAAACATAATTCTAGTCAAGAAAGCTTCATCCCCAAAACACTGAGTGTGCTTAATCCCTTCAAACCTAAGTAAACATCACAACCACAATGGCAAAGGGGGTGAGGAAAGGAAGTCTCATTCCTTTTTTTCCCATCTAGCAAACCTGATTTCAATCTGGAGATTGAGGATCCCAGGGAAACCCTCAGCTGTAAGATTCAGTTCAGAGAGGAAAGTTCAAGCACATGCACCTGACTTGTCCAGGATTCTGCAGCCCAAATATATGTGACAGTAAGTTTGAGCAAATTGCTAATCTAGTGTCCTGCTTCAAGAAGTTCTGAGCATACAGCATCTATCAAATAATGACAATAATGAAAATGAAAGTCACCAAAACTGATTATTCAAGCACATTCTGTAAGCTAAACACCCATCACCATCAAACTTAACAGGTAGCATTTTGGAGAGCAGAAACTGAATCTTGGTTAGATTAAATAAGTTCAAGGTCACCCAGGTAGGAAGAACTGACTTATTTCATAGTCAAAGTTTTTATGGTTTAGCTTTTCTTTTGAGAGGACCTCTGAAGTGGTCCTTAAGAAGCCAGTGGGCCCCTTGCAGATATTGTTGGCCCGCCAAGCAGACAGTTCACTGTGGGGGTCCAAGTATGTGTAGTTGCTCACCATTGAACATTTCAAAGGTGCTAGGAGCCTCCAAAACCTCACCCAGGAGACTGAGGGCTGCATACTGTAATGCCTGAAGGAGCAGGCAGTCTGAGGTCTTTTCATATAGTCACACACCTATCTCTTTGGGTCCCATAATCAATGTTTTAAATTTCCAAGATTTTACTGTGAAGAGCAAAATAGGTTTCTTCCACTATACTTTCCCCTATTCTTTTCTGTTATCTCTTTCATCACTCTACTTTGAGAGGGGGAAAAAGAGACAACTTGAATAATTAATTATTACTAATCAATGCAGAAACCAAGTCTTCCTCACTCCCCAGCATAAAACAGAAAAGGTAGTGAACCAGTTTTGTTAATCATAAATACTGAAGAATTTCTACACGTTCGAGGAAGAATAAAAAACAGAGGTATTTTAAAAATTAAAAAGTGGAAATTGCTAAGGAAGTTACAATATACCTTCGTTTCAAACACAGCATTTTCACCCACAATACAGAGGGCTAAATCGATGATAAATGAAGTTGAAAAAGGATGTCAAGAAATCACAGGGGAGATGCAGGGAAAGATCTGGACTGAGAACAGAGAACTTTCTGTGATGGGTGGGATTTGATCCAGCCCTGGAAGATAGGAGAGATTTCTAAGATATATTGGGCAATTACTATAGTGAGATCTGGGAGTCTTTCATTCATAAAAAAAATGGCTTTCATTTTATTCCCTTTTTCTGTATAACTCATATAAATTGCCATCAGAAATATCCACTTGACACATTAAAGAGCAAGAGGAATTTTAATTAATGCATAAGACTTCAGGAATGAATGTTTCCCTAGGAGACAGCACACCTAAAAGTAAGGGTGAAGGTGACAAAAGTACCAAAATGAATAATTCCATTCTAAAACACCCTAATACCGGCAATATTTTACTTTTGCTACTTTCTATTTCTTTTATGAGTTAGAAATGGGAAATACCTCTGGGGAATTTGGCCCATGAGCTAAAAATGCAAGGAGAATGTATGGCTCATTTTTCTTGAATGGAAGAAAATGCTCTGCAGCGACTCCAAACAAAATGAGTGTACCAGAGAGACTATCAAGCATCTGTTCAACAGCCCTTTCCTTATCTTTTTTCGGAGAGGCACAGTCAGTTGTTTAGAATATGATGCTTAACAGGAAATGTCTAGGTCATTATTCTTAAATGCATCAAATTTGCTCTTCCTCAGCCAAGAGAACTCAGCACCATTAATCCTTGAAGCAACCCCCACCCCCACCTTTTTCCAGGAGAAATGCACATTTTGATCCTGTGCAGTAGTATACCTACAGGCATGAGAATTGATTCCCTTAACAACCCCCCAGATATAGTACACAGGGGGTTTTATTAAGTGCTGAAGAAGGAAGAATTCTGGAAACTGAGAATCTTTGTCAATCTTTCAACATACCTTCACCAGCAACTCCTGCCTGGGTGTCCCTGAGATTGTTTTCTTGAACTAAGTACTCAAATCCCTAAGCTAGGAACTGAGTAATATCAGTAACCAGCAGCTCTTCCTTCACAAATGGCATCGTTTATCTTCATTATGTGGTTGTACCAAATATTCCTGCCTTTTCCTGTGATAAAATATCCTCCTGATGTTCTAGGTTTTTCCCCCCTATTTCTGGACATACTAAGTCCCTGAGAAATGTATCACATATGCCCCTTGTTATCCTTAGAATTTCTTCATCCTATCTTATTCTGAAAAAGTCAATTTACATCCTTCAAATTGCAATTGAAAGTTTACCTTCTTAATGAAGTGACTTTGATTTTCCCAGCTAAAACCCAATTGTTCTTTATGCTGTGCTTCCAGACCTTATCTCACCTTCTTAGCAAAGCAAGCCCAGTGTTTGAGCTGCATATAGGGTCTCTGACTTCCTCATAGACCCAACACTTTGTGTGGTCCACTAATAAACTCTCAGTAAGAATGCTGTATTCATACCTGCAGTCTTCTCTGTAGTAAATACACCAATAAATTCCCAATGGGTTTTTCTTATATAACAGCTAATTTAAGAGAAGAGAAATAAACATGAGCATAAGTCAAACTACATTTTGGTGGAAGTAACTCTAATTTTATCTGTTTTAGGAAAACAGATGGAAGGGTTGGCATTCAAGGTGATAGGTACATTGTGATTGTACCTATTACAATGTCTGCTAAGAGATGTGTCAGTAAATGCTTGTCGTGCTTCTATGTCCACTAGACTTGGAGAGCATTTACATCAAGACTGGAGAGGGATTGCTTGAGTCCAGCTGATGATAAACTCAAAATTTTTGTGAAGAATCGGCTCTGAATGTTCTGTAGCACATGAACAAATCCCACCGAAACTTTAATTCCTACAACAAACACTCAGTCCTGTAAAATGTTCAAAGATGTGTATTAATCCCAGCAGTGTATTTTATAAAACCCTATAAATGTTCACATAGACCATCATTCTAAAGCAAACTACTTTTTTATGTACCTGGCAGATAATGTTAAATGTAAATTATATAAATTGGCTTGTCTAATAAAATTATATAACCTAGACATAGATAGACATTTAGGTGTTAAAAAGTTGCCAGATATAGAGATTTTCATTCTGTTGTCAATTCCTAGTCATTTTTAATGTAGTTGTAAATATTTTTATGGAGGATAATTTAAGTTGTTTTTTTACAGAATAAATTAATTTCAATGTATTAAATGATATGCATAGATGTATAGATATATATACACAGATATATGTTTTCCTACTTAAGGTTGGAGGTAAACTCTTTTATTGCCTTAAAAATAATAATTTCCTTATAATATTTACTAAATCACTAGGTTGAAAAGAAAGCTAGAAAACAGATTTTAGATAGTTCGTGTACTTTGTCATAAAGTCCTCTTTGCATAAACTAATTTTTTACATTGCTATAGTTTAGCTCACCAAAGGTTTTTCTTGAGTAGAATTTGAATTAAATCATTATACATTCTCCTACATCTTAATGTAGGTGAAATATTATTAGTATTATATCAATCTATTGATATATTTATAATTAATGGATACACTAACATACTATTAATATATTCATTAATTAATTTATTTATAATTTAGCCCGGCAAGCTACCGAGAGTATTCAATATGCCAGAAACAGTAACAACAAAGTCTCCAATGGAGACGTTACTGGGCCCGTTCGAGCAAATCGACGATCAACGGGAGGGCCTTTACTTTACTTTACTTTACTTTATGTTTATTATATTCATAAACATGTATACATTCCCAAGACGATTTTTATTGTAAGTATGGTACAATAATTTTACAGTATTCTAAATATTTCATGACATGACGTATATAAGTTTAGAACATTTCATGATATATAAGGATTCAATAATTATCATCAACATTTATAAATGCTAATTTGCACACAGAATTAATGCACAGCATTGGAAATTTAGTTTTGTCTCCAACGCCATCAAAAAATGGGGGGAGGAAATGAACAGAAGCTTCTTCAAAAAAGAAACACAAATGGCCAAAAGGCATGTAATAAAATGCTCAACATCATTAATCATCAGGGAAATGCAAATCAAAACAGCAATAAGATATATGTCATACCACAGAGACTGGCATACATCAAAAAGAACAAGAACAATCAGTGCTAAAGCAGATGTGGGGAGAAAGGGATTCTCATTGTTGGTGGGAATGACAACTGGTCCAGCCTTTTTGAAAAACAATATGGGTATTCCTTAAAAACTAGAAATTGAGCTTCTATATGTCCCCACAATAGCATTTATGGGAATATGTCCCAAAAGTGCAAAAAGGCAAAGTTAGAAATGACATCTTCACCTGTATGTTCTCTACAGCATTGTTCACAATAGCTAGAATCAACTATTGTGATTCTGTGGAAACAACCCGAGTGCCCAAGAACAGACAATTGGTTAAAGAAATTTTGGTACATCTACACAATGGAATACTATGCAGCTGTAAGGAAAGATGAATTCATGAAATATGCTTATAAGTGGATGTTGTGGAGAGTATTTGATAGAAGTGAAATGAGTAAAATTAAATGAGTGAAAAGAGTCAGAAGGAGAGGGACAGACATAGAATCACTGCACTCATTTATGAAATATAAAATAGCATAATATGAGACTGACATCCAAAGACAGTAGAGACAAGGCCAGGAAATTTGCTCCTAAGCTGGAAGCCTGACTCATGAACTTGGGGAGAAGCAGCTGGAATAGAGAAGGGTTCACTAAGTCAATGATTATTGAAGAGATCATTCGGGTTGTGAAATGTGTGCTGAAAGTAGATAAAGGACCAAA